CTGTATCAAATGCCCTAATAGCAGTTTTTTGACTTCATTCTCAGTGATCACTAGCTCATCTGGGTGACCCAACTTGCTGCACGAGGAGAACGAACCTTCTCTCAGTACAATCCGAGACACAGGGGCAGGCAAGTAAGTTTATTCAGGTATACACAAATACAGTTACATAGATTATCATACATATGTGTAGAGAACCTGGGATAACCCAAAAATGTCAGTGACTTATAGCTGCTGAATCTATAGGAGAGCCGTTATACATTTTGCAATCGCAGGTATAGACTTCAAAATCTAGTTATAAAGGTATATTAAGATAAGATTTCGTTCGGATTTTTAACCCCGGAGGGTTAGCCACCCAGGATAACCCAAGAAAGTCAGTGCGTCATCGAGAACTGTCTAACTTATTTCCATTGGGGTCCTTAATCTTGTCCCCCAGGATGCGACCCACACCAGTCGACTAACACCCAGGTACCTATTTGCTGCTAGGTGAACAGGACAACAGGTGTAAGGAAACGTGTCGAAATGTTTCCACCCGCCGGGAATCGCACCCGGGCCCTCCGTGTGTGAAGCGGGAGCTTTAGCCACCAGGCCACCGGGCCACCATACAGGGACATAAATGGAAAAGCGACATAATGTCTGACCTAGGTTAAATCTACGTAATGATTTTTTTGTGTGTTCATGACATCCGTATGACCTGAAGAAAAATGTAAAGAGAAATTGTAAGCTATGTTCCCAAAACCAAAATAAATATTGACAAGTCGTGTGAAAAAGACACAAAACACAATTAATTTAGGGCATGTTTCGTGTGCTGCAGTGATTACATTTTTTTCCATAGATTGTTCGTTCATGGTATCCTGTTTCATAATAGTTTTTTTTAGTTATAATAATTTTGGCGCACACACACCATTTCCTCCTTGATCAAACTTCCATACATATTCCATTATTTTTGTAGACATATTTGTTTTTATCTCTGTCTCATGGCATTTTTAACTCAGTTTAAAATTATTACCTCTTGTTATCCCTCTAATAAGCCAGAATAACCCCCTAAAAAAAACCAAGCGTCCTGGCTTATTCCCGATGGCCCTCTTCGAGGACCCTCGGGATTATGTAAGGAACTTACATATACACACGTACTTAGTAATAACAATAATCAAGTGAGGACAAATAATCTGGAGAGAAATAAGCCATAACACAGACGATACAGATATAAACAGACATTAAACATGAAGAAATAATGTAATAAACTGTGGCTCTGGAAACACACACGTAGTGAGAATAATATACAAAATATTGCATGCAGTTTTAAAACCAATTAACATCATGCTAGTATCATGCAGGGTGATGCATTTAACTACTTGTTCCGTAGCCACTTTATAATAAGGTACTCTACCTTGAAGCTCATATATGTTGTCAAATCCTACCTCCTTCAATCACTGAAACAGATACGACATTTATTAGAGATATTTAAGCCACACACGGGGAGAAAAAAGAAACAGGAAAGTTACCCCTTAAAGAATACACGCGTGTTTTATCATGCAGTTTAGTGAACTCGTTTTCTTTGTCACTGATGTTCAGGGGTGACCAAAACAGCGACACGATTAAAACTCCATTACGAAGGAAGAGCGGACGGAGTTCCGGTCCAGTTTTCATTCGTAATTTGTGAATTAATTGTGACTTACACAAACCACGGTGTTGTGGCTTACTGTTAATTATTTAAAAGTACATAACTATGTGCAGTCTTTAACTTGAAGCGTTGTGATGTATTTATATTTTCCAGTATATAGGAAGTTCAAGAGGGACGAATATAATGAGACTAATGGAAGAAAAACAAAATTTTATTTTTAGGGGGGGGGGAGGAGTTAATCCTTGGCTAAATAATTTCCCAAAAATGTATTTAATAGGTGAATAGGTTGATAGCTTTATGTAAATTGATACATTGACAAATGTTCATTATATTTTAGTTATCCATGTAAAATGGTATTTATTTTTAAATATATGTATATTTTTCATTGTAATTTTTATACTTAATAATTTTAATTGCATTTAAACATGCCATTATTATAATAGATAATGTTTACAAATAATAGCCCAGTGGAGCCAAGAAAAAAATATAAATATACAGAGAGTAGTACACATCTCTCCCGAAAAATTTGGCTTCACATTTTTATTTAATCGTTATTTTAGGGAATAAAAAAAAACAGGGAAGTTTAAAGGCTCAGTACAGCCTCAGTGATCCAGGGATAGATAAGAGGACTTAAACTAGATCAGATGAAGTGGAAATTCACTTCCATTAGGCTCCGATATATTATATTTAGACACACACATGTGGATTTTACGTTAAGTAAAAGTCACACACAAAAATATCTAAAATTAAAAGACACTGCTAAATGTTTGTAGTCCTGAAGTCAAAGACACAAGTGGTAGAACACGTTTTTACAGGGACATCGTTTCGCCCTGTGTAAGGCTTGATAAAGATTCACACGGAGAGAAAAGTAGTCGCAATAAAAGCTTGTCCTGGACAGTGTGTCTGTGCCTTCATATATTTGGGCAATAGGCCATTTCACTTTGCCAGTAGGCCTATACATTATTGCAAAATAAATCTAAATAAAATCTTGGGCAGCTAATTGTGGGGAACACAAGTGCAGCTGTCCCTTTCCTGCTGCTGCAAGACAGCCTGGTCCTTAGACAGGATAGGAAAGAACACAATAAGAGAAGCTTTGATTACCATTAGTCTTAGAATGGTTTGCATTATTACTATTATTGCATACACTGTTTATGTGTAGGATGCAACAATGCTAATTATTATGTATATGAAGTAGATACATATGCAACGTTCGGAAACTCTTTTCCCTTAGGATACGTTTCGCTCACCAGCAGCTCCTGGTAAGCGAAATATATCCTAATTAAATTCTCCAGCGAGACGTAGTACGAACATGTGTGTATGTGAAGTACGGGCAAGCTTAGTAACTGTACCATAATCTTCAATTGCAATAACTCGATCGTAAGTTAAAAACAGGAACCCAGCTAGTTCGTGAGATGAACCAGAATGCAACTAGTATGGAAGATGTAAAACTTGGAATATTGTTTGTCTGTTGTGAGAGGGTGATGGAGAAGGATTCGCAAAACTTATATTCATGCAACGCTTTTTTTTTTCTTGGAATGGAAAAAGTTGGAACTCGTGATGGGGAAGTGACCAGCCCGTCGCACCGACTATTAAACTACATTGGCTGGAACAAAAATTGCAACTGGATTCCAGCCAATGTTTGTGGTGCCCCGAGACAACAGCTGCCAGTTTTGTTGTAGCGTTTTTCCTCACCTGAAGGATGAGTTGGGAAGAGTTATAAAGGGCGAAAACGAAGACATACAAATGATCTTAAATGGTACAAGGAAGACAGAAAATGAGGCTAAAAGAGAGGGCAACAAAGAGTAAATTAAAGAATGGATGAAGCCCTGGCATCAAATACTGCCGAAAATAGTTTTGTACGTTGTATGTTTCGTACGTTGAATTGAGTGCGGCCAGCAGTAACAGCCTGGTTGATCAGGCCTTGATCCACCGGGAGGTTTGGTCAAGGATTGAGCCGTGGGAGTGTTGATCCTCGGAACGACCTCCAGGTAGACTTCGCGTAATACATGGATTTATCTTTCAAAGGCAAAACTGGTGAGATACTGGATGAAAAAATGACTAACGTAGAGAATATTTTGAGGAACTGGTGAAGGTAGAAAACAAACTGGAGGTAAACAGTTCGTGCTGGAGACAAGAAATCCAGCCTAGCATGACGGAAGATCCGATGTTTTAATTGTTTGAAACAATTGGCAAATACGTTTAGTTAATGGTCTCTCACCATCACCCCTCAATGTAATGTTTCTCTTGCTTGAATTCTAAACAATCGCTGCCCTTCCATATTGTGATTAAAAGAAATTTGAGTCCTATAATTATACATCATCCTTCTGTCTGTTTCCAGCTTAAGCTTCACATAAAGAGCCAATCAGCCAATTAATGAGTCTTGGTTATGAAAGAACCTGACAGTCTCAAGGGCTCTGCAATGAAGTACTTCAGAGGGACAGTTTTAAACATATACCGAAGTTGATTCACTGTATCAGTGACACCGATTAAGAAACAACGACTTAAACGTCTACGCTTTTTACGTGTATCTCAAGATGATGCTCACGTGCGTGGTGTCAACGCAGACCCGAGTGTCAGATGTGAACGGGGCACGTACTTAGTGTTATCAGGAGCATACGTACCTAGCGCCAACAGGGACACGCGTACCTGGTGCCAACAGGGACACACGTATCTGGTGCCAACAGGGACACGCGTACCTGGTGCAAACACACACACGTACCTAGTGCCAACAAGGATACTCGTACCTAGTGTCGTATCTAGTGCCAACGGCGACACACACATCGATCTGAATGAGAACTCTTGCCATGAGGTATTTTATTTATTCACATCGTACGTCAGCCCACCTTCTGCTGTCAGTACCAAATAATTCAACCTTCATCATGGATTTTCTTCCATATTTAATCATTCTCTATCATAGTATAAAGTTAAAATGGGATCAAATTATTTTTAAGAACTCGCTCACAGGGAAAAAGGTGCCAAAGGTTAACGGGTTCAGTTTGCGGTATTCTTTACAATTCTTGAAAGTGCTAAAAATGTCACCAAGACAATCGACTGAGTGAATAATTAAGTGCGTGATGCTCATGGCTTGTTTATAGGACTGATCTTCCCCCACCATCACCTCTATGAACTCTCACTTCCTACATAGCCGCACCCCTGCCTCTCACCCCTTGCCCTTTTCCAGCTTCTGGAATCTAGTACGTTGATCCTTGCCCACTGAGACAATGCAGAGATAAGATCCTGCTCAGAAAAATAGAAAAAAAAAACGGCTTACCAACTTCCACTAATTGATCTATTGCAAAAACAAAACAAAAAAGTCATCTTTCGTGACGAAGCTTCCTCTCTCACTGTACCTGAAGACAAACTCGGAGAAGCAACTTACGTGCTAAGCTCTTCCTCCGGAGTTTGGAGACACGCCTGACGAGGGCTGGGCCAGCGTTGGAGAGTAGCCGGGAGAGTCTGCGTATCGGGTTCTTGGTCTTCTCCTCCTTGTCATCCTCATTCGTCTCCCCTGAGCGAAGAAAATGAATGACGGTATAAAAGTGTACGTACACACACACACACACACACATACATAGCTTTAAGCAGAGGTACGATAAAGCTCATGGTTCAGGGAGAGTGACCTAGTAGCGACCAGTGAAGAGGCGAGGCCAGGAGCTTGGACTCGACCCCTGCAACCTCAACTAGGTGAGTACAACTAGGCGAGTGTACACACACACACACACACACACACACACACACACACACACACACACACACACACACACACACACGCGCGCGCGCGCTCACACGCACACGCACGCACGCGCGCGCGCGCACACACACCTGACGACACTGGAGGACATAAGAGATAGGGGGGACATGATAACGAAATACAAAATACTGAGAGGAATTGACAAGGTGGACAAAGACTGAATGTTCCAGAGATTGGACACAGCAACAAGGGGACACAGTTGGAAGTTGAAGACACAGATGAATCACTGGGATGTTAGGAAGTATTTCTTCAGTCACAGAGTAGTCAGGAAGTGGAATAGTTTGGGAAGCGATGTAGTGGACGCGGGATCCATACATAGCTTTAAGCAGAGGTATGATAAAGCTCACGGTTCAGGGAGAGTGACCTAGTAGCGACCAGTGAAGAGGCGGGGCCAGGAGCTTGGACTCGACCCCTGCAACCTCAACTAGGTGATTACAACTGGGTGAGTACACACACACACACACACACACAGTGTACATTATTTATATATATATATATATATATATATATATATATATATATATATATATATATATATATATATATATATATATATATAATATATATATAATATATATATAATATATCGTGCCGTATAAGTAAAACGCGATTTTGGCTTAGACAGCAACGCTCTTCTTGCCGAATAAGGCTATTTGATATCCATTATTTGCATTCAGTCAGCAGTAAGACCAGTATCTATTAAATGTGTGAGCAGATTATTTAATTCCTGGTCCACACGAAATGAATGGCAGTATTAGTTTAATCGAATTTCCCATGCTTACGTGTTAACCGTGCGTGTTCCATTCAGGACAAGCAAAGGAGGCTTGATCCTCCGTTCGCTAACTGTAGCTGTATCAGTGTCCACTCGTGTTGAGAGTGTCGTTCCCTCAGCAGCTAGGAAAGATACACTGATTATCATCTTGGTTTGGGTAAACGTACTTGGAAGACTGACCACTTAAAACTTATGATTGGACATGTGTACTTGGTAATACTCGTCACTCCCAGTCTTTAATTGGGTTTGTGTATTTTGAAACCTTTCAGCCCACCGTCTTTCATAGGTATTTGCTTTCTAAGAATCACTGTCTTGGATGGGTATGTGTACCTCCTAAGACTCACCATCTTTGATGGGTAAGTGTACTGGAGGATGCACAGAGCTGCGTCGGCGGCCCTTGGAGCCTCTCCTGGAGTCTCTCCGCGTCACCCTTCGGGAGAGCTGACGTCTGGGGCCCCCGACCGTGCTGGCCCGGCGCCCCCGTGAAGCACCAACCATGGACGACCCTGCACCGCTGCTCCTCTGACGCACTAGCAGGGGAATGCCGCTGTAGGAGCACAGAAAAAGGCAGTGTCAGGTTACCATCTCAACAGAAAAAAAAAGGAAATTTACAAAAGAGGTCGTTAAACGGAGCAGGCTGATGAAAAAAAATGAAATCTTTTGCTACAACGTTTCACTTCGAAACCAATCTTAAACTTGCAAAGGAAACGATGTTTCGGTATAGATTTCCATTATTCCATACCGTCATTTTACCAAAAATAAAGTTATTAATGCTGATTAATGGGAAAAAAATATGTTTTATTCTTGGGAGTGTGTGAGAGTAAGATTTGAGTGAAAATATATTTAGGGAAATAGACACTGAAGAAGAACACACAAATATTGCGAAAGCTATCGGCCTAAAGTTGTAGAAAAATATTCTTATGAAATATATCAAGAGTTTAAAGGTTTTAAGTCGATCAGAAGAGGAATTCTCCAGCTGCCGAAAGGAAATCAGTATAACAATTTATATAATAAATCAAGCAAGTTGGGTCTTAAGTATCCCAGTATCAACGCAAATCTTCCGTTGAGTAAAATTTACCATTCCAAGTTATTACCTAAGTTTACTAGAGAACTTGTACCTACACGGTCTAGACTTACTATGTTTAGCTATAATAACATTCGTAATCTGTGAATTATTAAAATTATAAAGTTATTACATTAAAATTGGGAATATTGTGTTTAACATTGACCAGAGGACACTTGTAGATTCCATTACTCGCATGAACTTTCTCGTAGTTGCACGAAACCAGCGTTGAAAAGTTAAATCCGATCGAGTGAGGCATTCTTAAGTTGTAAACGAAAAACCTTGGAGGAAAGTTAGGAAAAATTTGTCAGGAAACAGGACAAGTGTTTTCTGACGTGGGTCTTAATCATATGTTGACCCGCAGCTGGAGTTTTTGGTCATCTGACCGAGGGCTTCTGCTGGCTTACCAGTTCACCCCTTTAAAACTTATGGTTATGGTTATAACCATCCTTGGAGGAAGAAAAAACTAAATTAGTCAATTACTTTAAGGTACCACTTCAGAGCTATCTAATTAGTTTTTACTGAAGTTTTTGCAAGGTAATTTTAGATTTGCCAATCGTGAATACGCCGTCTGTGATGTGTATAAGTTCATATGAACTCGCCTAGTTTAGTTTACAGGGGTCGAATCAGCGCTCGTGTGTGTGTTGTCATTACATGTCTTGTACGTCGTTTAGCATTAGTATATTCTTTTTTACCGTTTGTGTCTTCCAAACGCAAGCAAATAAACTCCTGTCTCCGCCTCACTGTCTGCTTTATTATGCAGTTTCTTTCTCTATGCGGTTCTTTCCAATACACCCACAATGGTAACAAAATGGTAACTAACACACATACATGCATATAGAACAGGCCTAGTGTCTAATCGACATGTATCTAGGACAGAATAGTGACCAACACACCTCGTCATCTTCCCAGGATACTCACCGTGCCACCACCTGCTTCAAGTGTCGTCGTAATGACTCTTTCATAGCCCAGAGAGCAACAGTAATACTCTTGCTGCCTCTGACAGCTGGCCTGGCCGTCTTTTCTTCCTGCTTCTCATCACTTCTTTTCGCCACATCTTTACAGTCAAGATATTTCTGCTTCTCATCACTTTTCCTGGATACTCCTTTACAATCAATGTATTTCCGTTTTTCGTCATTTTCTTTAGTGACAGATTTAACTTTAAAGTATTTCTGTTTGCATGGTGAACCTTTCTTGTTCTGTGGATGTATTAGTTTTGGGAGTTTTTTCTCTTTGTTTAACTGTGAATTGTAATGTAAATGAAATGAAAGCACAACTGTCATGCTTTTTTTTTAGATGGCTAGTCGCAGTGTTATTGATTAAATACTAATCGTTCGTGGTTACAGTATACTGCTTGTGAGGCTAATACACCAAACGGGGAGTAGAATGAAATTAGCTCTGAGCCACCCACACCATCCTATGTCCTCGGATCACGGTACAACACCTAGCACTGCTGGGTGCGTGATCTTTGTAGGATTGGATGATCCAATGGGTTAAAACGTCGTGAATTTTCGCTGATCATGAGGCGGGCTAAAACAACACAGGTTTGAGCCCCCGGCTAGATGCAGTGTTGTTTATATATATATATATATATATATATATATATATATATATATATATATATATATATATATATATATATATATATATAATATATATATATATTAGAAATCAAATTACAGTCTGAGAGTGGAGAATACGTAGTATGCGTTAATGAATTTAAAATGGTAATGAATTCACGAAATACACTGAAGAATTTTGGAGTCATCGTAATAAATAGTTCAAACCAGAAGTTAAAAATATATCTCCCTCTGTTAATGCTTTTCCATCTAGTTAACTTCGGTCGGTGCAGCGTCAGTCCCAGCCTCTCTTCACTCTTAATATTACCCAGTTATCTTATTCTCTCTCTTTAACCTGTAACAAATCTGTCTTGATTGTGCATACGTTTACATAATATTTTACAGATCCTGATGATGGTGAAGAATTACCGAAACACTAAATAACAAAAAGGCACAATACCGTGACTGGAACGATACACAAATAACCCGCACATAAAAGAGAGAAGCTTACAACGACGTTTCGGTCCGACTTGGACCACTGACAAAGTCACACACTGTGTGTGACTTTGTCAATGGTCCAAGTCGGACCGAAACGTCGTCGTAAGCTTCTCTCTTTTATGTGCGGGTTATTTGTGTACCGAAACACTGAATGAATGACTTTAGAAGATAAAGAAATAAGGGAAAAAGATAAGTGAAGAGAGAAGAAAAATTAATAAAAAAAAGGAAATGTAAGAAAACTACACAGAATCAAATTGAAGTGATTTATTCAGACTAGTATAAAATAAAAACGTCTTAAAGGAAGGAAATCGAAGAAGGAGTAGGAGTAGGAGGATGAGGAGTAGGAGGAAACAGAGGAAGAAGCATGTGAAGACTATGCAAGATCCTGCAACTTGTCACATTGTCCTCAGTCGACAGATAAGATAAGATTTCGTTCGGATTTTTAACCCCGGAGGGTTAGCCACCCAGGATAACCCAAGAAAGTCAGTGCGTCATCGAGGACTGTCTAACTTATTTCCATTGGGGTCCTTAATCTTGTCCCCCAGGATGCGACCCACACCAGTCGACTAACACCCAGGTACCTATTTGCTGCTAGGTGAACAGGACAACAGGTGTAAGGAAACGTGTCGAAATGTTTCCACCCGCCGGGAATCGAACCCGGGCCCTCCGTGTGTGAAGCGGGAGCTTTAGCCACCAGGCCACCGGGCCTTTCACTGTCAAAACGTTTTGCAGATCGTTGAACAACTTGAAAAATGCAAAAAGAAAAAAGTAAACAGATCTTTGTTAATATAAAAATAAATAAATCTTTCACGTTTAACGTTTAATACTTCAAAAAAAAAATTAAATTGTTTAATATCAAATTTGAAATTATATATTCAAATTGAACATCATCTGGTAGGAGTAGACATTGAGGCTACTTGTTATTTTCAAGGTGAAGAGCTAAGCCCGTAGGGGGTCAGACAAGGCCTAGGGGACTGGAAGTAATCTTGTTTGATCCAAGGAAAAATTGAGTGGATCAAAATCTCTTTTAACAAGATCTTTTCTCCTGCCTCTCCTGCCTCTCTTGCCTCTCCTGCCTCTCCTGCCTCTCCTGCCTCTCTTGCCTCTCTTGCCTCTCTTGCCTCTCTTGCCTCTCCTGTCTCTCCTGTCTCCCCTGCCTCTCCTGTCTCCCTTGCCTTCCCTGCCTCTTCTGTCTTACCCTTTTTCTTGTCCCCTGCCTCTCCTGTCTTGCCTTCCCTACCTCCTCTTCCTTACACAGATAACCCGCAGACAGAAGAGAGAAGCTTGTGACGACGCTTCGGTCCGACTTGGACCATTTACAATCCACTTTTAAACGGTACTAGTTGGACCGAAACGTCGCCATAAGCTTCTTTCTCGTATGTGCGGGTTATTTGTGTCTTGTTCCAGTCACGGTATTGCGGCTTTTTGTTCTCCACTTCCTTTCCTGACCCCCCCTTCCTCTCCTGCCTTCCCTGTGTCCCCTGCGTCCTCTGCCGCCCCTGCGTCCCCTGCGGTCCCTGCGTCCCCTGCCGTCCCTGCGTCCTCTTCCTCACCTGGCTCCCTGTACTCTGCAGGGTATAAAACATTCAGTCATCAAAGGTCACACTCCAAAACTCTGCTTTCTGGGAAATGTCAAGGACTATTGTCGATCTATAACATCCCCACACTCCAACCCTCCCACCCTCCCTTCATCCCTCCCACACTTCGCTCCCTCCATCCCTCCCACACTCCCCTCCATCCATCCCTCCTACACTCCCCTCCCTCCATCCCTCCCACACTCCCCTCCATCCCTCCCTCATACCCTCTCTAACCCTTCTTCCCTTCCTCCTTCACTCCAACACCTCACTTCACCCTCCCTTCCTTCCCTCCCACACACCACTCCACCTCTCCCTTCCTTCCATACAAAGTTCCACCATTCCAATCCTCCCTCCAACACACCACTCTCCCTTTCCATCCTTCCTCCCACACTCCAGTCCACCATCCCTTCCCTGTGGTCTTCCCACTCCCTCTCCTGTCCCCACACCCTCCCCTCCCTCCTCTCTTCCCCAAAGGAAGCTTTAGTCTACAGAAGTTAAGGCCAAACAGACAGCTTTATCCTCCTGATTTCTGGAAGTCAAACTTTTGAACGGCTGGATGGATAATGCGCATTTCTCGGAGGGCCAGGTTAAGTCCCATTTAAGTCTGGCCGAATGGATCGGTGGCCTCTTGATATGACCACGACAAACCCAGGTGGACTCTTACCCTCTGAGACTGTTTGCAGCATCATTACACTTAATGCCCTGGTCAGGGAGAGTAATAAAGAGTACACTTACGGATGCTTCGTGACGTAATACTCTTAAATCTGTCTGAAGAACCGATAAGCCGGAAATATAACCAAAGAGCGACTATTTGAAGATCAACAGAACACTTCACAACACTGAGCTCATT